CCAAGGCCTTGGGTTCAATCCCCAGTAAAGAAAGAAAAATAAAGTACATAATTCAGTCAAAGTAACAAATAAATAAAGCCAAGGCAGACATATTGGAGAGCAGCCCAGCACATCTGGCCCTGCTGGGCCTCGACGAAGCTACTTGGGCTTCTGTGGTCCTCAACGCCTGCAACCCCACGTGGCTGCTGCTAGGATGTTGGGAATGAACTACACTCCCAGCCTGTTTTATTTTTTTCCTTTGAGGCAGGGTTTCCCTGAGTCACTAAGTTGCTCAGGCTGGCCTTGAAGTTGAGGTCGTCCTGTCTCAGCCTCCCAGAGGGCTGAGATGACAGACACCTACCACTGAGCCTGGCTGCCTGCAGCTCCTGAGCAGATGTCACCTTGGCCCTCCAGGCTGTGCCTTCCCCATCTGCCATGTGTCTGTGCTGTGTCATGCTGGGGGCTTCTGCAGACAGAACGGGCGTGCACGTGGGCGCACAATGACTGTTCGAACACTGGAGACGGAAAACACGGAGCCCCCCCTGCCAACATCCTGGCTCCGGTGCGTCAGTCTGGACAGCCGCCAGAGCTGCAGATAGGCTGCGCAGCGATGCGAGGCGGTCTGCCCACCCGCAGTGAGCCCCCTCCACCCTCGTGGCTCCCCGGGCCCTGCAGTCCGTGACTGTCACCCCCGCGCGTGCCTGAGTCAACGCGGGCCGCGTTCCCACGAGCCCGCCGCCGCCGGGTGAGTTGGGCACCGCCTGGGCGACAGGCGCATGCGTGCTGACCGGGCTCCCTCGGGCCCCAGCAAGGAGCTCCCCGCTCCTGAATGGCAGAATGGACCTCTCTGAGCCTCGATTTTCAAGTCAGGGAAACGGCAGTGCTGGACCTAGGAAAGGAGCTGGCGCCACAGGGCTGAGAAGAGCAGGGGGCGGGGGACGGAGAGCGCGGTCTTGACCCACCAGGGCCGCAAGGCTCCCGGCCGGGCGCCTGGGGCGGGCAGGATGGGCGCTGCAGCGGGGGGACCGGCACCCCTGGCCTCCAGCCGGTGGGGTCCCAGATCCTCGCAGCCATGAGCGCCTCCTGGGGGCACAACCAGGCCCAGATGAGACCCCCGGACCAGGGGGTACTGGGCCCCAAGAGCCCCGTGTCCGCAGTCACCTGTGCTGGGGTCCTGGGGCCGCACCGCAGGGACCCCACACTCGGGGGACCACCACGCCCAGCCCCAGCAGCCGCGGCCCCTGCTCACCCTGCGGCCCGATGGGAAGCGTTCGGCCGCCTCCGGGGCGGGGAGGGGCGAGCGGGTGCCGGCGGCCCGGGCACCGCGGGGCGCTGAGCGGCGCCCCGCTCCACTGGCCCGGAGCCCGGGCTCCCCCGCCGCGACCCTCGGCGCAGAGAACACTCAGGCTCGGACTGCGCCTCTTGGCACCTCCGCCAGGGAAGGGCTCGTCCGCAGAGAGCTGACAGCACCGCCTCGCTGGGGACCTGAAAGGCTCGGCCTGGGACGCGGGATTCTCGGTACCGAGTGATCGCAGGACTCCGCGACCCGCGGACGACACCCGAGCACGGCCACCTGCGCCCACCCGCGTCGGGCGCATCCCCGCACGCACGGGCCTCCCCTGCCCCCTGCTGGCCGCTGCTGGTAACTACAGGCCTGCAAAGCCGGCCCCAGGCGCCCCCGAGCAAACTCACAACCCCGGGCTTTGGTGGGGCGAGGGGTGGAGGGGGTGGAACATACGGTCCTGCACTGAGCTATATCCGCAGCTACATCCGCAGCTTCATCCGCAGCCCTTTTTACTTTTTATTTGGAGACAAGGTCTCGCTAAATTGCCCAGACTGACCTCGAACTTGCGACCCTCCTGCCTCAGCTTTGCATAGTGCCTGGATTACAGGTGCGCCCCCGCCCTTTAAAAGAAAGTCAAAGCAGATGATCTGATCGGATCCCTGAGGTTGTGGCCTCACGTGGTGGCATACTGGTTGTCCTGGAGAGACCAGACTCAGCGAAGAAGTCCCCACCCAGATGCAGCCACCCTTGTAGCCTCTGTCCCTAGGCTCTGCAGGGTGAGGAGGAGCCCACGCGGCCTGTCCTGTGCTTTGGGGGAGCTAAAGGCCTGAGCACAGCCAGGTGCTCACACTGTGACTGCCGTTTGCAGGAGAAGAAGCCTCGGTCGCCCTCCCCTGTAGGTTCCCGCAGGAAAGGCCTCTCAGTGTAACAGAGAAAAACCTGATCTCGGCCCCATGGCAGGGTGTCTCGGGCTCCTCGTGACTGACCCTCGGGCCTGGCGCTCTCTGTGCGGTGCCCCGGGCACTGCAGGTGCTGAGCGGTGCTCCTGGCCCCCACTCGGGCTATGCCAGGAGCTCCCCAGGACAACACCCACACGCGTGCCCGCAGTGTGCAGGGTGGAGTCTGCATCAACCCAGTGAGGCCGACGAGGGTGGGAAAGAGTTAAGTGCAAAAGCTGCAACCAAAGCGAGATACAGGGGGCTTAAAAATAATCTTCAAGTGCGGGAGAATGGTGCAAAAAAGACAATGGAGAGCCCTGACATATGTTATAAAAAAGAAAGCCTGTGGAAAGATCAGCGAAGAACACAGCAGCATTTCACGTCACAACCCTCTAAGAAGCCAGATGGCTCACACCTATCATCCAAATACGCTGGGAGGCTGAGACGGGAGGATCTCAAGCCCAGGCCCAGGAAATTAGTGAGATCTTATCTCAGGAAACATTTTTCTTTTCAAGATCTGGGCCCTGGGCTCCATCCTCAGCACCTCAAAAACAAATAAAATCCTACTGATCTAAAATTCTAGGTGTGTACATCATAATGTAATTCATGATACAATTCATAAATGCAATTCATGATACCCATGTTTACAGCAGCACAATTCATGGATTCTGTGGGAAAAAGGGGTCCAGAGGTCTGGTTAACAGCTGTGGCGGAGGAGCGAGTCTGAGCAAACTCAGACTTGTCATGTCCTCGGCAAACCGAGTGAATCGCCCCGCCTAGGCTGTCCCGCTCTGACCTCTTACTTCCGCACCACCCGCGCCCAATAGTACCACCTCCAAACCACGCCCCTAGCCCGCTCAATAAAACGCCTGGTACTTCCACAATAAAGTAGATCTGCGCCATCAGCCTGGTCTCCGGTGTCTCTTTCTTCACCGTGCCGCCGCTTGCCATGGGCCCAGGTCCCTCGACCCAGGAGGTTCTACCTCCATGGATAGAGAAACAGACCCCAGGTGTCATGTATTTTATTTCATTTATTTATTTTTTGGTACTGGGACTTGAACTCAGGACCTTGTGATTGCAACACAATTCATAATAGCAGATCTTAGAAGCAGCATATACAGTGGTAGCTCGGTTCACAGACTTGATTCTTTCCATGATTCTGGCCACAAACTGACTTGCATCACCACTGAATCAGGCTGGGCGGGTAGCACACATCTGTAATCCCAGCACCCGAGAGGCTGAGGCAGGAGGATTGCCATAAGTCCAAGGCCATCCTGAGCTACACAGTGAGTTCAAGGCCAGACTGGACTACACAGGGAGACCTTGTCTCAAACAAACAAACAAACAACACAGCTGAATCCAATTCGACGGTAAGGTTCAGTGTTAACCCCACGGTGAATTTTGATTCAGGTCTTATCCAGTTCGGTTTGCAGCCAGAATCGTGGACAGCGTTGAGTTCGTGAACTGAGGCACCACTGTCTCCCCATCAGCAGATGAGCGGATGAAGGAAAGGTGGCATTACCCACGGTGGGGCGCGACCCTGAGTCGTGTGTGGGAAAATGGATGCACCCTGGGACACAGTGTGAAGTGAAATCACACACACAAGCTTCAATATCGCACGGCTTCTCGTACATGAGAAACACGAAGTATAAATAAAGAGCAAAATAAAAGGTAGAGAATAGGAGGTAGGGACAGGGGTCTTTCTCAAAGGGGAAGGGAGCCAGGCATGGTGGCACACACCTGTAATCCCAGCACTCGGGAGGCTGAGGCAGGAGGATCGTTGCAAGTTCATGACCAGCCTGGGCTACAAAGTGAGCTCAAGGCCAGTCTGAACTGCATAGCGAGACTCTGTCTCAAAAAGACCAAAAAAAAAAAAATTAAGACCTTAATGATGTAGAGGGGGGCTTTGGGGCCTTGGTCCTCTTTCTACCTTTTTATTTTTCATTTTTACAGGAAGTAAAAGTGTCTCAGCCTGACACGACAACCACAAGTGGCTGCGAGGTTTGCTAGCCTCTCCCGCACGGCGCCCCCATGTGCCCTGCCAGCGCCCTCCCCATTCCCCATTCACTTCAGAATCTTCCTAAATCAAAGTTGAACATGTAAGACGTGGTGGCACATGCCTGCCACACCAGCACTCTGGGAGGCTGAGGCAGGAAGACTGCAAGTTCAACATCAGCCTGGGCAACTTAGCACCCTGGATGAGATCCTGTCTCAAAATTTAAAAAAAGAGCAAGAGGCCCCTGCTTTGTGCCTGGCTGTGTGATTCTTGTGTACAGGACACTCACACTCTCCCCGAGTTCCCACATAGAATGCCATCCGTGGTATAGATTGAGGCCCTGACCCGATGCGGTCACCAATCTCCCCTCAGAACTGGAAACCAAACAAACCTTTCCTCTTTATAAAACATCCAGCTTCCCACAGTTTGTTACAGCAACAAAAAAATGGACTAAGACAACACATTTCAGCCCTGCATCCCACCCCAGCCCTGGCTCTGCCCTCAGCAATGACTGTCGCCCCTCACAAAACTGAGCGAGTGGGCAGGAGACGAAGCCAGAAAGGCAGGCGGCGCAGCCGTTCCCTTCTGCTTGCATGACGCCTGGGCTTCCTCAGGGCCAGAGCCCACAGCGCTGTGACCCTGCTTCACAGCGAGACACAGCCCCTGCTGTGCTTGCCTGAGACCGGCCCTTGGATTCACCTCAAAGCGGCCAGAACACAGCCCAGCTCCGGCCCTCACCCAGGCTTCAAGAGCACCGAGCCACGGTGGCACGCAGGGCAAAGGCCCGCATCCGAGCACCTACCTGTGCGCGAGGCCCCGTCCCCAGTCACAGATTCCGACGCCAAGACTTCGCTCCCTAGGGGGAAAACACAGTGTGTGAATTTGGGCCCCATGGTGGGAAGAGCCAAGCATGGCAGAAAGGGGCAAGCCTAAATTTAGACAACGCTAGGGAGGCTTTTTTTTTTTTTTTTTTTTTTTTCAGTACTGGGGATGGAATCAGAGTCCCCTCACTGAGCGGCATTCCCAGACTTTTTCACTTTTTGAGACGGGGTCTCGTTAAGTCCCTAAGTTGTCCAAGCTGGGCTGAAACTTTCGATCTTCCTGCCTCAGCCTCCTGGAGTGCTGGGTTGACAGGCGTGCGCTCTGTGCCCAGGGAAGACCATGATAGAAATCTTCTGGGGCATCTTGCCTCGGAGTCCCTCTGCCTAACTGTGGGGAGAGTGGGAGGCTCTACAGTACAGAGGTTACGTATAAGAAGGCAATTTGGCAGGAAAGGTGGACTGGCGGTGCACGGCGCTACCCTGCGACTCTTCCACGTGTTTGAAAGTCAACTGGAACCAAGGGTCGCCAGTCACACGACCGCCGTTGCTGGTGAAAGATGTTCACTTATGGGGTCAGAGCTTCAAGAGTAAGTAGAGGAAGCTGCGCGTGGTGGCGCACGCCTGTAATCCCAGCACTCGGGAGGCTGAGGCAGGAGGATCCTTGCGAGTTCGAGACCAGCCTGGGCTACAAAGCGAGCTCAAGGCCAGCCTGAACTGCATAGCGAGACCCTGTCTCAAAAAAAAGAGGAAGTAGCGGAGGCTAAGTCAGTGCCCTGCACCCACGGAATCCGAGCCACCAGCTGGTGCTGCCCTGGGGGAGCTGCCAGCCCTGCCCGGCCTCCCAGTGGCCCCTGCGTCCCTGCTGCCGTACGAACAGCCATGGGGACAGCGGCGCTCCGAGCCCTGGACCCCCAGGAGATCACTGTGCAGGGTCTTGGGACCCTGACAGCCCCAATAATTCATGCTCCGTGTCTCCAACCCTGTGGACACCCGGGCCAGGCGTCCGTGCCAGGGGCTCCCCCAGTGTGACGGTCACATCTGTCCTCAGGCATCCCGGCATCCCCTGGGGGCACGGTCACCCCCATGAGACCCCCGCGACCCCACATACGACAAGAAGTTACTGAGCCCTTGAGTTGCGGAGGGCTGAGAGGAGGGCTGAGAACCACTAGTCCCGGCAGGGCGAGTCCTCGGTGCGCAGGTCCCGGTCCGCAAGGGTGGCCAGGGCAGGGCTGGGTGGGGAGGGGGGCTGGGAACTTCGTGCCAGAGCTCAGGAGACAGGACAGTGTTTATGGAGAACCATCCCCAGCTCAGCACCCTGAGAAGACAGCAGGCATGGACCAGCCCAGGTGGCCTGGTCTGGACCCTTCTTGCCCATCCAGGGCTACACCCAGCCTCGCTGGCCTTTCCTCAGGAGAGGAGGTGATGTATTTCTTGTGTGGAACTAGGATCTGAACCCAGGGCCTTTGCACTGAGCTACGTCCCCAGTCCTTTTTCATTTTTTGAGACAGGGTCTTGCTGGGTTGCTGTGTTGCGGAGGCCGGGCTCCAACTTTTGATCCTCCTGCCTCAGCCTCCCGAGCGTGGGGATGACAAGTATGTGCCACCACGCCCAGCTAAATGAGATCATTTTTATAAAACCTTTTTTTTTTTTCATATACTTAGTGCTCAGTAAGTTCTGTCTTCAGATAGGATACAAGAAGAACAGCGCTTCAGTTCTGGGTATTCTGCCCCAAGGTTGAATTGCAAAAACAACAAAAACACGTTAAACACATGCGAGTGGAGAAGTTCTGTAGAAATGGGGTTTCTGAGGGGCCACGCAGCAGGAGGTGAGCAGAATCAAGGCTGCTGCCAGCCCACCCCATCTTTCCCGCGCCCTCGCCGCCAAGCCCCGCCTCCCGCAGGATCGTCAAGGCCCTAAACCCTCACGGGGGCGCATCCGCTGTGAACTGCGCACGCGCGAGATCATCACGCCGCCTCCCACCCGTGGGAAAATCGTCTCCCAGAAAACTGGTCCCCGGTGCCAAAAAGGCTGCGGACGGCTGCTACAGGACACCCAGCAAAGCCGGACGGAACCCCGTGACGTTCTCTGTAACTCTTCCGAAAATGTAAAATGATGCTAAAATTAAAAGCTCATTTTAGGGCTGGGGTATGGTTCAGTGCTGAGCACTTGGTCAGCATGTGTGAAGCGCCGGGTTCCATCCTCAGCACCCTAAAAGAAAAGTTCACTTAAAATAACATCGTACTTTTATTTATTTATTTATTTTTAAGGCAGGGTCTAACTTTGTAGTGCAGACTGGTCTTGAACTCACTATGTAGCCCGCTGGTCTTGAACATCCCCAAGTACTGGGATAACAAGCATGTGCCACCACATCTGGTTAAAAAAATTTTTTTCTGGACCAGAATGGTGGTGTTCACCTGTAATCCCAGCATTCTGGAAGGCTGAGGCAGGAGGACTGCAAGTTCAAACACAACCTGGGCAACTTAGTGACTTAGCGAGACTGTAGCTCCAGAGGAACAAAAGGGCTGGGGATGTAGCTCAGTGAAAGGAACCTGAGCTCAATCCCCAGTAGTTAGAGTATTTTTTATAGCCAGGCGTGGTGGCGCAGGCCTGTAATCCCAGCACTCAGGAGGCTGAGGCAGGAGGACCGTTGCGAGTTCCAGACCAGCCTGG